AATGCTTCGATACTGGTAGAAAATATTAATATTAGCATGTAGTCTGTTATTAATGTGATAGTCGCAAAAATTCTCTTTACGAGGAAACATCCCGGATCTGCCTTTCTTTAGATCGGAAAAGTGAAGGAGCATTCGTTGCATAAGTCGACTATGCAGCACTGCATGCCACAGTTAGTGAATGCACGCGTTTGATCGTGCATGCCAACGAATTATGCAATTGCGTGTATAAAATAATAATAAAATATAGCGATTGCTAACATTAATAATTTGCAGTGTCCTGATTTTTCAAGAATATTGAATATACGAGCGGGAATAAATAATTTTACGCAAAACGAAGATATCAGAAAACAAAATCTGGAAACGAGAAGGAATGCAATTCTTTTTCTTCAAATTTATTCATGAGAAACAAACTAGTTTTACATCATCCTTTTTTTTTTTTCTATATCTTTAAACACAGATAAATCAACTATAACGTAGCGATCATAAAATTTATACACCGCCACTTATAATGAATTACGATGACATTTCTAAAGTCGAAAGTGTCGAAAGCGTCGAAAGCGTTTATGGAGCTCTATAAAAAAGCCTAATCTGCCCGCGCTGCGGTAATAAACAATGTATATCGCAACAAAGTTCAACGTGAAATTTAACGAATGCGACATATCAGCTTACATAACGCCGCATCAAGATGCATGCAGATGCGCGGCGTATCAAATCATCAATCTAAACATACGTCGATGATCGCCGTTCGCCGTCTATGCACGATCCGTATCTACTGACGCAATTGTGTGCGGCGCACGACCATCGTAAAAGCTAAGTGCAATCCAGTGACCGCGAGTTTCCCACAGACGGAAAGAAAAAAAAAAAACGAAACACATTGATTCCAGGTGTGGTTTTCTTACCTTCTTCTGCAGCTATTACGAACGCCCTCGATCCACTCCTTGATCTTCGAATCACCAGGAGAAGCTAAGATAATCGCCTTAGCGGCAAGAAAACGCAATAAGCTGCAATGACGCTATACGACTTGAATTAAAGTATTCTATCTCTTCTGCCACTATTAAATTTCTTCTGCAAATTACTCGCGATATGGGAAAGTAAATAGATTTAATAGCCAGCCTGGCCTTATTTTACATTAGATATAAAGGAGTCCTTAATTTTTTTTTGCGATTTATTAAACTTTAACGGTTAAATGATAGAATTACGTTCTTCGTCCAATTTAAAACGACTGTTATTTTAGTTTGATTTGCGGTCTAATCGTTACGATATTTAAATGCTAAAAGTCAAAAAGTCTGACGTTTTCCATTAAATGTCGCAATTGTATCCGTGGAGCTACCCATTCTGAGACCTACATCTGCTAATTGCCAAATTTGTTTCAGTCTACCGCGGAAGATTTTCGAGAATCCGGCCGCGAATTGCGGTCGACTTGTGATACGAAAGTGAGAGGTTTAGCTTGCTTAAGCCGGGGCTGCGGTCAGAGCATTGTATCTGGCCGGAAGTTATTACGATCGCAGCAAATATCCCTTTTCGATAAGCAATATATGATAATGCCTATCTCGTGCCTATCGCAGTCTCGTTCGCACGCGATTTGTACCCGCTAACATTTATATCGTACGTGGGTGGAGCGTTTCGTGACTTGCGTTTGTTCACATGTCTAAGCGTTGCCTTCACTTTATATCAAATTTTTTTATACAACTGCTAATGTTCGCGTTACACGAATGATTAACCGATTATTGCAATTGCATCCGCTTTCGTAAAAGACCTTTATAGACTGCTTTTATCTTATTATTGGCATCTTCAAAATGCGTGCAAAATATTTAAACAGACTTAGCGTAAAAGAAGGCAATTAAAATTTTTTTGTAATGAAAAAAGTTTTGTTCAATTTTAATTTATTTCTAATAACATTTCTTGATAATTGTTGTTTAGAAAAATGTTTTACCTGGAAATTTTTATTTTTAACGCTTACAGCTCTTTTCACGTTAAAGCTTTACTCGAATTACAAACATGATTCCGAATCGAATTTCCGCAAAATTTGAATTTGTGATGAATCGTCGAAAACAGGGTGCCCCGTCATTCTTACCACAATTCTCCAAAGTTTCTCTAAAGGCTCCGTCGCTTTCTAGGCCTCAATTATCCTCCGACAGAGGCAGACTATTTCTCGAGGCGATCGCATAAATTGCCAGATAGCTCATTTGCGACTACGACAGAGATTCAATTCCAGAAAAGACTTTAAAAATCCGTTTGCCGCAACTCTCGCGTTTTGCGGAACGCAACGTTATTCGCAACCTTTTTACGACGTTTTAATATCCGGCCTGATCTACATAGCGCTCTTTGAGAAGTAATATCCGATCGCAATCTTGCAAAGTGACAGATACATAGATGACTTCAAACTTTCAACGCGCTCAATTAATCGCACAACACCGATCGCTCAAAATTGTCGACCAAATGCGCGAATATGCAAAAATTGCTATTTTTTACTTATCGCTTACTTGCAAAATCGATTTTCCAGCAGTGGCACTCCGCTAAAATAGTAAAAATAGAAAGTTTAAACTAAATGAATAATTGCCACATCAAAGCTTATGACATTTAACTTAATGTTGCAGCTATGAGAGAAAATAGTTCGCATCTTTAATTGTTTTCATTGATTTCTATTAATTTGTCCGCTGCTACATGAATCATCAGTTTAAACTTATATCATTATTCGCCATATTGATTGGCGAGATTGAGACTACGGTTATTAATGAAATGGAGAAAGAAGTAACGTGCCAAATACATTCGTACCGCCCAATGACATTTGCCCATTAAAATTACCTCGTCACGGTGCGTGCAGTTGAACCTGTGTTATTGAAACCATTCAATAACCCTGTACTTGTCAGTCAATGAAATCCATTCAACATACCAAGTATGACTTACCAAGAACTATGCAAATATAGAAATTCCTCGCTTTAGTGCAAGTATCAAAGACAATATTGCACAATAAAATCCTAGCTTAAATTTCTTATTGAATTATTGTCAATTAGCAATTTAATCAAAGAGCTTTTATATGCGTATATTTTAAAATAACATCTTCTAATGATATAATGAATTATATAATGATATAGGCATGTTTGTAATAATTGATAATATAACGTTATACAACATGAATACAGCTAGCTATTAACATTGACATAGAACGTTAGAATTTGCGTATGCGGATGAGATTCCTTGATGTTAATGTCAATGCCAATCGAATGCGTATAATTGACCTGAAACGGCGCTACATTGTTCGTATTGAAATTTCTTATGAATGGATTGTTTGCATCACTTTACTTTTCACGGCGTTCGAGCTATCATTTTGTTTGTTAATTTATTTTAGATCTCATTTACAATTCAAATAATGATAAAAATATTTTACTTAATAAGCATTTTGTTTTCAGTATGAGAATTGACGATTATAATAGTGATTGCTGAAAAATATAAGTGAATAAACATAACATTCAGATATGTTTATTGAAAAATTGTAAAAAGAAATTCAACGCTTTTAAATAAAAACTGTTGTGAATAATTTACAAATACGACACCTGCAGACGCATGTAATGATGCGAAATGCGAATATCAGCTGCTACCAGTTATATAAATAACCAGTATATTTCGAATGTGACATATAAGCTGTTATGTGTGCGAAATGAAAACTGCAGTAGGTCGTACTTTCTCGGCGAGAAGGCGAGAAGACCTGTCTCACAACGGGTCCGCAACGACAGAAGGCACCCGAGAGAAAGGAAGATCGAACAATGCCCCTCTTAATTACGGCAACCTTAATTATTCGCGTGTTTTTCTCGCGCGCACAATACACTCAACTGTGAATTTGAGAACGCACTACGCGCGCGGCATTGTATCGCAATCATAATAGCGATAATGGAATCAATAAACAGGAATTAGCGAGATTGTGATACACATTGGAAGTGAAATCTTCCTTTCCGAATTTATTATGGCGCGTAAGAAACTGCTGACCCAAAAATCTGACAACGATGTCTGTAAATCGTGTTTGTTATAGATTAATTACATCATTAATTTCTTATTATATAAGCAAGCTTCTCAATCAACTATCAATTTGTTCTTTGTTGTGCATACAACACAAGACAGGATTGAGTAATGAAAATTATTCCTGAAGGAATATTACTTAGCAAAGAATTGAAAAATATATGTCGTAAATTAAATGTCAATCTACTGATTTAAATTGATCGTTCGCAGTTATGGAACGACGAGCGAGTGTGAAGCAACTTTTGCTAAATCGTGAAATAATCTTCCCTCTGATTTCCCACTTGGTTTTCAATAAGCGCCTTCGAATAGAAATGCAAACCGATAATTTCTTATCTTGTCACATACATTGAATACCATTGCGGACTGCGTGGATTTGATTTGCTTTCGCTTTTAGAAGATTTCTTCTATCATAGCACATTAGTACGTATAGCATGTCTAGTAAAACATTTGCAGTAGAAATGCAAAAGCGGTGATTTGCAAAGTAATTAACCACGGTAATTTATGAAAATCGACGAATGAATCCAGCGATTTTTCATACTTTCTCTGTAATGTACGAAAGAGATTTATTACACTTCTATCATTATCAATTTCCCTTTTATCTTTACGACTTTGATGATGATACCATATTTTTAAGTTTATCACTAGAGATTTATATCTATATTCGCAAAGAATCATGCACGTTTCTTTATCGTAATACATTTTCGAGCAAATCATATAGATTTCTTGTTACATCATAAAAGATCCAAAGAATAATCACCGTTTAACTTCAAGAATAATTAGTAGATTGTCACTTTTTGATGTTGACGATATGCCACTGAAAGCATCACAGTGTTACATCATTAATGCGCTCGTGATGTCTGAAGTGCACACAAAAATTCTATATTGCATGAGATATTACAACATTGCACGAGATGAATGAAGGATAATAACTGCAACATTGCATTTTAAACAGCCTTGCGACATAAATCGCTCTTTTCCGGTTTTAGGGTCGTTTCGTGCACGATCCGCGGCCTCGTCTCTCGGCTTCCCAGCAAGCCCAGATACTGAGCGACGTGCAGCAACATCAACAACGGTATCGGCGGCCCATTCAGGACTCCAAAAATGCACGGGTATCCTTCCCTTCGTACGACCAAGCACAAACTAACACACCGTACGCCTCTCTGGCCAAGTATAAGGTCGATCGAACAAAGCAGCAGCAATTGTTACACCTGCAGCAGCAGCAGCAGCAAGTCCAGCAGCTTCTACAGCAGCAACAGCAAAAAATCGCCCAGCTCGGTGCTTCGAATTTCGTGAACAGTCCACAAGCGCCGCAGTTCCAGCAGTATCAGCAGCAGCAGAAGCAGCAACAGCAGCAACAGCAGCAGCAGCAGCAGCAGCAGCAGCAGCAGCAGTTCGGTAACCCGTACAACCAGAATGGTTTCCAGAATCTTCATCATCAGGATCTGTCGCAGCCGCTGTTCACGGATCAGCAAACGTTGCAGTTTCAGGAGTATCTCGAGAAACAGCGCGAGCTGGAGCTGCTGCAGAA